CTTTCCTCGGCAACAGGAACACTCTCTGCATGTCTTTTTCTCGACCGAGTAGCGGGCACTTCACGCTCAGCAGTGATTTCTTGACCACCATCAGGCTCATCTGAGGCTAAGTCAATGATAGGTGGATTCTCAACTGGAATAACCTCAATAGCAGGCTCAACTTCAGGCGCAGTAGCGGTGGCAGCGGCAATAGCGGCCATCGGACCTTCTGCTGCAATAGCCAGAGGATTCGGTTGCGGCACCACGATCACAGCCGCCGACGTTGCACCATCACCAACGTCGGTTTTCGGTGGATTCATAATGGGGTTCTCCAGGTAAGCTTTCACCAACTTCTTACGACCCATTCCTGTCAGACGCAATTCCTTGCTTTTCCCAACTTTGGTTCGGAGGTCTAAATTCGGACTGCTTTGACGGAAAGCTCTTGCGTCACGAGTGGTCTTGAAACCGAGAACCCCAATGAGCGGATAATAAACTGCAAATATAAAATCGAGTTATTATTAATCCCGAAAACAACCGACTTTAAATAAGATGAACAGAAATTTTACTCAAGTTTACCTGGTTGGAACGAACTGTCAGAAATTTCGGGACAGAGACCACTAGCTTTCAGTCTCGTGTTCTTCAAAATCAACTTAAAGCTGCGCTGAGCCTTCTTCAACTTGAACAACTCGGTGATCCTCTCCTTTAAAATCTAACTGAGTTTTGATCCCTTGCTTTTGGCTGCAAATAACAAGACCTGTTAGTACAAAAATAAACAAGGTCAGAGCAACTCAGTAAAACAAAGACGAACAAGAAACTTACAAACTGCAGAATTAATATTGATGGGAATTGTCATCCCATCGATTAAGGGTTTCGAAAATTCCGGAGTTTGCCAGTCTCCTCCGACCCATAGCCACTCTTCTTGAAATCCGTGGAGCGACTCAGGGATATCGGTAATCAAATCACCAATTTTCAGTCCTTCTTGAGGCCTTCACGCACAAGCCTAGCAAATTAACGGGTCTGCAACTTGCCTATCAGTACATCGCCGAAATGAATATAAACTCCTAATTTCTTCAACGGTCGGCATGTCCCAACCCTTCTCCTTCAATAGCACCATAAGACCGATTATTCTCTTCCATGAATTTGGCGCTATCTGACACAGACCAATTCCCCAATTCCTCAAATAGTCTGTAATCAAAGCTGGGAGGGGAAACCGAAGTCCTGATCTTAATGAGTCAGCAAATACACCTACACAACCCGGTGGCGGACAAGTAATCCTTTCCCCTGGGTAAGGCGCAAATAACTTGACCGACGAGGGAATATAAACCTCTTCTCGAAGAAGGACGATGTCGGCGTCTGTAAGAATGCTTGGTTCACCTCGGTATTCATCGATTGGTTCAGGCCATCGCCGAGCTGGACGTCTCCAATAGTCAGGAAGCGACATCGCATCTTCTTTGACTTTCTTGTCTGTCTCGACGATGTCTCTATTCAGATTTAATTGTTTCACCAACAGAGGATCCCATCGATAATACTCGAGAGGCAATTCCAAATCCTCATCGGTTAAAATCGGAATATCAGAAATCGTCCTACTACTACTATCCTCAGTTCGTGTCGACATTTTTTCCTTCCGAAATCGATAACAGAAAAGCAAAAATTCGAAATAGAACAAGAAAACGGAAAGGATTAGGGTAAATTCTTACCGACACTTTCGAGAGCCTTAGATTGACGGGAAGATTTCGAAAAGTGCAAGTGCACGAAGAAAATATACAAAGAAAAAGATTACAGACACAGCACAAGACAAAACGAAGAAGTTTAAGGTACAGAAGTTTTTCGCGCATCGAAACCGACTTTAATTTATAGGTTTTGATTTATGACCGTTAGAAGTATCCGGAAACGGCGCGTGTAACGGACGTGTCTTCAAAGGACATAACGTTACAGTAATTATTAACCTACGTGGCCGCATCCTGAAACGCCATGTCGTTATAAATTTATATCCGTTGGACCCATTTAATGCGGACACGTCTTTTAAGAGCCGCCATGTCAGATCAAATGCCATACAAAGAGTGTCAAACAAAGTGTTCTCATGTCGGTAAACAATGCAAAACAAGTCGGAATAAAGTGGAACGACAGACGACATCAGCAACCATTTAAAAAGCTTCAAATACTTACTGATGTCGGGGGCCTCACTGTTGATATCAAATTCAGTAACAGAGATTGAAGATGGAGATTAATCATATTATCGAAGAAATAATTTCGCAAGAAAGTAAACTTACAACAAGTCGGTATGTATTGAAACAAATTATCGACTTCTGAAGAATTACCGACTTTCAAAGATCTGACTATCAAAGGTCTTCGAAAAAAACCGTCTTCACAAGAACCGACATCTAAAGCCAATGTAAATAAACCGACTTCAGTTCAACCGACTATCACGAAGTTTGAATATTCCAACAGAAAGTAATCATTAGAAGCATCTGATTGGACCAACAAAACAAAAAGGCAATCATTGGTGTTTCCCGCCGCTTTAAGTAAAGCAGCTCAACATTAAATGCATCTTTATCCATTTCAAGGAAGAAGACAAAAGCCACCGTACTATAAATAGCAGAATTTATGATAGTACGGGGATCTTTTTGAACACATTGTATATGGACTTCTAATGATCTCGGTTTTCAACACATAACCGACTCCTGTACTCTTGTGAATATAACGAATAAAATCAAATTGAACGTTTATCTTTATTTTCTTAACATCTATTGTGTTAAATTTAGAGTTGTTAATTCAAGACAACAACATTTTTCAATCACCAGATTTGACCCATCACCTTCTTAATTCCAGCCAAACTCACTCTTTTGTCACCAACTATACAGCCAAATAGACTGTGATGGCATTCCTCCACACTGGTTTTGACATTGTCATCCTGAAGATTGATAATTTTGTTCTCCTTTTTTTAGAGTGAAAAAACCCTATGCCGCTGTTCCACTTCGTCTGTGATCGATTTCGAACATTGCCCCTCCATAACCGCAGTGGGTAGGAGACGCTAGGTATAGAGATTTAGGAAAAGGTTAAAAAACCTCTCCGACAAGAGGAAAGGGCTTTCCGACGAAAGAAAGTGCTCTCCGATGAGAGAAGGCGCTCCCCTAGAGAGAGAATTTTGCGGGTTTACCTTGTTAACTTCCATTTTTTATTGTAGTAATAATTTATTTTATTTATTTGCATTATTGAACAAAATAAATCGCCGCTACTTTTTCACTTCTATTGTTTTTCTGTTTCATATTTTACTCACTTTTGGTCTAATCTTGCCTAACCAAAATAATAGTAGTGAGCAAATCAACCATATATGAATTATATATAATTTGATTTCGTTGTATCTATATGTGATTATATATATAAAAAAATAATACACATATTTTGATTTAATTTATTTATAAAATTATCTAAAAAAATTTTGATACAATTTTATAGTGTTCTTATTTCTCTAGTTAAAATTTATTAAATAAATATTTTACATATTTTGTTTATTAATTTTCAAAGTTTTCAAATATGTTTCAGCATATTTTACATTTGTACAATTCAAAGTTCCACTTGAATTTGTACCCGATAAGAGATTTTTTTTTTTCCAACGACAAATAATAAAATCTATTAACTCAACACCGGTACCTAACTAGATACAATATTCAAACGTTACAACACAACGCAAGTAACATCCAAACACAGTAAATCAACTAATGTTCCCTTCGAGGGCCTTTATGGCCATGTCGAAACTAACTTTACAAACCAAATCAACAAAGAAAAATGAACAAGAGCTAAACTGAGAACAAAGAGAAAGAAAAGCTAAGGCCTCATCCCCATTAGAATCCACATGCTTCTTCCACCTGTTGAGGGTGTCAACAGCCTTCTTGTAGTGTAGGATGCATGTGATGTTCTTCATATTATGGTTTGTTGCCTTCCTCAAAACCCCCAAGACCGCTATGGTGTTGACCTCCACTTAACCCTCGGAGAAGTCCCTAGATGATCTTTGTACTAGCACATTTTTAGCTAAAATGCTCATGGCCGCTTTTCTTTTTTTTTTTTTTTTTTCCGAAACGGCAGAATCAACTATTATAGAACTAAAACAAGAATAAAGTTCTAATACAGAGTAAAAAACAACTACCAAAAGAATAAAATGAGAGGCACGCCTAAGGCGGCCTAGAACCTCAACAAGATAACCCACAAGGGGAGAGCAAACCAACAGAAAAACCACAGAGTTTAGCTTCCAACCACTGCTATAAAGTATATAACTCCCATTATCAAAAAACTACAATCAACAACAAGGGAAATTAGAAAGCAAGAGTGTGTTCTAGTCAATCTGTCTGGGCCATATTGATCAGCCTGTGCACTGGGATTAGAGATTTTAAAAAATTCAAATATTCCTCGATTACCCTATACATTTTATTTTATAAAAATTTTAAAGTTAATTTAGTTTTGGAAATCACTTGAAAAGTAAAAAAACATTCATGTTCTTATGTTCTTGCAGTAATATTAATATTTTTCATTTACTTCAATTACACAAGAAAGCTTTTTTATCAATAAAATAAATGAATTATTTTATAATATTAATCATATAAAATGTTAATTTAGAACTAAATTAGAATATATATAGGACCCATAAAAAGTAATGTATTGAGGTGTATTGTTATTGAAGACTTCTGTTGTATAATTAAAGTTAGAGATTTTGAATGATATGACGTATTGAAAATTGTAAAATGAAGTTTATGAAAAAACATTATAAAGATGCTCTCATCACGTAAATTATGGACGGTGTGGTTCATCTATCTTTCTTTTCACTTGATTGAGACTATCTCCATTACTTCTTGCCTCCTTGCACCGTTTATTAGTCTCTTGATTGATACAATCTCCATTACTTCTCGCCTCCTTGCACCGTCAATTTAATTAACGAGTGATTTTGTGTTAAAGTGGCGCAAAATTTGATTGAATATTTTTTTTTAAAATAGAATCAATAGTGTTCCCATTTCCTTTCCTTGGTGATTCGAACCCATGACCTATCGGTTATACGTAAAATGTCTTACACCCAACGCTTCGTTGTCAAATTAGAGAGAATATTCTTGAGCTCTTTATTGCTAATGCTATGTGATGTATTATTCCTTTCCATTAAAATGACCCAAGAACTTGTATTTCTTTTGCCAAAGTAGGGTCTTTTCCCTAACTACGGTCATCTGGGATGTTTCCATTGGATAAATTCACCTTAGTTATCTCAGCACAAGAGAAGAAGAGATTTCTGGTTTCTTGTTGATCTTGAGCGCGATCCTGAAAAGAAGGAAAAGATCCTAGAAAAGTGGACTTTTACGATCCGCAAGGGATCGTGATGTCTTTCTACGGAATCGCGGGTCTCTTTATTAGTTCCTATTTGTGGTGCACAATTTCCTGGAAACCTTAGTGAAGATTGATAACTATTAAGGTATGATTTCCTTCATCTTGTCAGAGTTGTCATGCCTAGCTTGCGTGGTGACTCATCTATCGAAAGCCCCCACTTGAGATCCCTCAAAGCATGCAACCCGGACAGATAAGCCCCCACTTGAGATCCTTCAAAGCTTGCGACCCGGCTCGTCTATCAAAAGCCCCCAATTGAGATCCATCAAATATGTATAAATCGAAAGCCATCAAAAGCCACCACTTGAGATCCTTCGAAGTCACTGTATTCAATTGACCATGTCAGATCAATTGCTTCAATCGGAAGCTATTTACAGCGCTAATTGAACCATATCAGATCAGTTGCTGCAAGATATCATTTTGTAATATAGAAAACGTATATTTAACAGCTCAAATCAAAATTATTTCAAAAACTTAAATTGTTTTGAAAAGCTATTGCATATGTTTAAATATCTATTGACGCACATTGAGAGTACAAACCCTATTTTCATAGGACAAACCCTAAACCCTAATGAGTTACACAGCTATTATATGGGCGACCCAAGATGCTTTGACTTTAACCAATACGGACTTTGACGGCTTCATCAAAGAGAGATGATCAGTTCTTCTCCCAGCCTAGCTGGATAAGGCCTATTCTTGGTATGCACACATACTAATATGCTACAAATGCTAACACACAAATGAAACTTCACAACACACTAAGTAAGAGCAGCTTCATAAACCATAGGACGGTGGTTTAGTCCAGAAGGGAGCTGCTGGTATCTGAAAACAGTAAGTTTTTTTGTCAACAAAAGTGGCATATAGATTAAACACACTTACAAAAGAGCAAATTTTGTAATTTCTCGGGAAACCATACTGAGAGATGCACAAAACCGGATGTTTATGTGAGATGGTGTAAAGACAGTACGATGTAGGGGTAGGGGTAGTAAAAAGAACGAAATAAAGTCAGTCAGCTCCTAAAAAAAAGTCTTTAGGATCCGCAATTTGTATAGTAGAAGCAGATCTCAGGATTCAAGCGGTATTTGTAATGAAGGACGGTTTTGATATATAAAGACATCTCCTGTATTCAGTCTCATTACCAAGTAGGAATAATAACATGCTTAACTTTGGTGCTTTTGCCTTCCACCAGAACTAGCAGTTTATATGCAGGTGAAATTGTAACTTGGGAAAAAATTGTGGAAAACAAAATCATGTAAAAAAAAAAAAAAAAAAAAAACAAAGAAAAAAAAGAAAGAAATTCTCATACCTGTTCAAGAACAATGATGCAAGTCAGGCGAGATATTCTCCTACAAAGAAACCCAACACGAGCTAGCATATAAAATCCGGCCTTTCCATCCCTGAATCATCCAATGACCATCTTCACCAAACAGAAAGTCTTTGTGGTATCCAGCCATGGCCTTCTTATGCTTTAGTTTTTCCATAATCTCTGGATTCAAGGGGAACGGTTTGAAGCCAGCCCTCATATGTCGAAAGTGCCACTGCTTGTACGTCTCGGGTCTCTCGACCCTTTCCATTCCCTCGCATGCAATAACGTTAATCACCTCCGGCCCATAAAACTCCTGCTCAAACACCATTCTCTGCGGATGGTCACGAGGCAGAGTGGCATCAAACATATCAAACAGCGCTGAATAGTGGAAAAGAGCCTCCCGGAAACGAGTCACAAAGAAGGGCACACTATATGATCCACTGGTGACGGCATGCACAAATATAGCCGGTTTCATACTTCTTACCAATCTCAGAACCAAATCTCTAGGGCTGTCAGCCACAACCGTCTCATCAAGCAATCTACCAAATCGAAACAGACAATTCACGGCCAGCAACTCACCACTCACAATCTTCAAGTCCTCGACCTTAAGAGTTTCCCAGTTCTGAGATGCTACGGCTTGGTACTCAAACGGCACGCCAAAATGTTGGCAGTACCTCGCCAGCCGCACCCCAGTCTCTTCCACTCTCTCAGCTGGCCTGAAACCCGGCTGTGGAATCTCAATCCCTGTAATGCGCAGTTTTGGGGGCCCACCAGGCCTCTGTGAGAGAAGCTGAATGAGAACAGGCCACTGGAAGCCGTAGAGAATGCCGAAATCTATAATATGGAGTGTAGTATGAGTCTCCTTTTCTGATACCGACGCAATCATCTTGATCGCAAAGAAAATCGACATCTTCTTGAATGGGCAGACAGAGAGATAAACCTGGTAGGCCTCCAGCTTTTGGGCAGCTGTAATGTTCCTTCGCGTGAGGGACGTATAAAGCTCGGTCCCAGTGCCAGCTAGGCGTGCCTGAAGACCACTGGCAAAAACGTAAGCCAACCTCTGGTACACATCACCAGTGGGGGAGGAATGTTTTCCAATCTGCCTCAATTGTTCGTATGCAGTCGCAAGATCATCGCTCGCAACAGATTGGCAACAGCTGGTCAATAAGGTCTGGAGGTCAACAGAATCATCCTCCTTGCTCACATTTTTTATCCTCGGCATTACTCTTTGCGCCGAAATAGTTTCTGATCCACTGTTGTTATCATCACAACTGTTCTGTCCGTCTGGACCAGTGCATAGGAGGACTCGGTCAAACATTTCAGACAGCTCAGTTTCATCGGTGTAAGTGGCGGATAGTTTATTGATTCTTTCCAAGCCCTCCGAATCACCATCATCTGGATAGTGATGCTTCTTTCCCTTTGAGCGGTTATTAACAGAAGAATCTTTGGCTTCTTCTTTCTCTGACTTGGTTTCCGTAAAAGGAGGGGGATTTATGTCTTCTAATTTCTGAGGTAACTCGTACTTATTCAAATCTATCAACAGTGGGTTCCTGGTGGGGAGGAACTTACTGGCTTCTTCCATCCCTCTCTTAAACTGCAAGATGAATTGGGAGTTCAAGTGGGCATCGGCTTTGTCATTGGAGACATTGACAGAACCGAACAACGATGGTGAAATATTATTTACCTGCAGTAATGAATTGGGAAAAATGCCATCCAGATGACTTGGTTGCTCCACGGATAAATTATGTTCACCTGGATCAATAACACAATGAGGATCGATTGAACTACTACCTCCATTACTGCTGCTCGTGTACTCACTTAGCCCACCACTAATGCTATCAGGGCTACCCGAAGGTTGGTGGCCATAATTTACCTGATGGTAAGGTGAAGGTGGATATTTCTTACCGATAACTTCATACAAAGATTTCTCAGCAGCCTGTAGGGCAAGCGGGTCGTGGAACATGCTAGGCTTCTCATCCATATTCTCTTCAAGCAGTATCTGGTTAAGGAATTTCAGCACTGGATCAGACTCTTGATCATCTGGAGATACCGATTCATAGCTCACAGTTGAAGACGGAGCAAAACTATCATGGCTTGGGCTTAATGGCAGGAAAGACGTGTCAAGCACATCAAGACCCAAGTGGTCATGTTCATCATTGCTACTATTTTGGTGTTGCTCATAACTTGGAAGTGACTTCTCATAGTCAAACTTAGATCCATTTACTGTATGGGGCATTTCACTGAATCCAGGATCCATAATGATCAGGCCTTAACAATTCCTACAAAATACAAACAAGTCATCTTTGATGTGTAAAAATTCAAAAAATCCAAATGCAAAGGACAACTTAATCTTGGAAACAACTAATTTATGTGAAATCAACTGGAGTCAGCAGCTGATAGGATCAACAACTTCATAATATCAAACAGAAATGAATAAATAATGGATATAGCAGAAGAGAAAAATAAGTACAAAGAAACATGATTTAAAAAACCCAAAATAAGGTGAAAAACGTTCAGGAGAAATATGAATATTACACAAGAGCATAGATCCGGAAATAACCTCCTCAATTTCAAGAATAAATACATGGGATACTATATGATTTCACAACCCAGCTGAGGGTTATGTCACAAACACATCAACCGAGCTTTAAGCTTCTTCTGCTACACCAGAACCACTATGTACTTTTCCTTATTATTACTCTCGATACCTAAAACCAAAAGAGGCCACCAAAAAGAAGCTAGAAATAAGATTTGCCGAACGAAATAAAGATTCTACTGAGGGCGGATCCAGATATTTTTCTTTAGCGAGACTGCAACTGTTTTCGAAGATGAATTGTTTCTGAACAAATTCGATTTGACCAATGAAAGTATGACCATCTTGTTTATATATTTAAATGAGCTAAGATGAAAAATTAATTGAATTTGTTTATTAAATGAAACGAGTTCAAACTCACATTTTCGTTCGTTTATTAAATGAGTGAAGCTAGGATGATTCTTTTATTAGACAAACATGAGCTTCATCATGAGGTATTTATCTTAACACCTTTTAATATATCCCACATTTATGTATATATATGGCATAAAATTGTAATATAAAATAGATAAAATAAATAATAAATATGCTCTAAAAAAGATATAAGTTTTGGACTTTAATATTTCAACATTCACTTCAATTTAAGCTCTATAATATAAAAGGAAAAACACCAAATATTACATTTGAAGAGGGTATGAATTTACTTAAAAAGATTTAATGTAGTTATAAAGGATTATTAGATAGACCATATTAATAGTTAGTAATAATTTTGGGATACATGTATAAATTCAATATGATTGCAATATGTGTTACATATTTTAGGTAGTAATGTGTATTATATAAAACAAAAAGTATAAAATTTAGGGGGGACAATTGCCCCCCCCATGGTACATCTAAATCCGTCCCTGATTCTATTCTAGGTGACCTCAAAATCGGAAAATTGAAATCTTTCTGAAAATATATAATTCTTATTCAAGGCAGCAAACAGTCAAAAATCAATACAAACTAATAAATAGACAAATGAAAGGGTGGAACAAAATCAGCGGGGAAAAAATGATGAAGAAAAACTACAAAAGAATAACCACTAACCGGACCGGGGGTCCCAAGATATGGCCTAGGGTGGGCCTAGGCCCACACTAAAAAAAAAAAAAAATTATGACTTAATATTCCTAAAAACTTATGAAATAGTTTAATACAAAGAAAAACAATTTACATTAAAAACGATAAGGAACACAAAATAAGAAATCAGGGAGATAATGGGAAAATAAAATCTTGTTCAAATGGATTTTGGTGATAGTAAGTTCAACCCTTCTTTTATTAGGTTTTACAGAAAAAATTAAAAACTTATTGATGTTATAAAACTAGAGAGAAAGAGAGAGAATAGAGAGAATGTATTCTCTTGGTTCGATTTTCATTATAACTGAAACTCTTATTTATAGGAAAACTTCTGATGGCACAATCGTAATAATACAATTACATCGAGGGCAAAATAGTTATTCACATATACAGCTATGTGTGGTTCATAATGGTTCATAACACTCCCCCTTGAATGACTATTTCTTGAATATATTTTAACTGATTTTAACAAAGCCCAATCTACACATCTTCAAGTGTATCTTGTGGCCATCAGGTACCGTTGCTTCAGCATGTCAGGAAAACCCGGTGGACAAAACCTGATCATCGTGAAATCATAACATTGTTTCTTCAAGAAAACTCGGTGGGACAAAACCTGAGCATTGTGGAAGCACAACATTGCTCCCCCTCAAATAGATCATCTTTAGTGGAGTATCGACGTGCTGCCTCGTTAAAACCTTATCAAGAAAACCCAGTGGGAAAAAACTTGATCGAAGGAAAAAGAGTACAACTACTCCAGTCTCTCTTATCATCATGAGGAATCATAACATTTATCCAGTAGTCCTCATCATACCATGAATATGCCTCATTAAAACCTTATTAGAAAAAACCCAGTGGGACAAAATCCTAATGAAGGAAAAAGAGTACACTATTCATGTGAATATACCATCGATGTTGCCTCATTAAAAACCTTGCTGGGAAAACCCAATGGGACAAAACCTCAGTCAAGAGAAAAAGAGTACAACGCGTATTCCATATATTCACCATAATAATCTTTCCAAAGTTTGTATGAGTATTATATAAATTTGTTCAGATTTTTAGATACTTATGGTATTCATGATAATATGTCATATCATGCTTTGTGCAACTTTTATTCTTAAAATCTTTCTCATCATCAATTGATTTCAATGGTCTTACTGCCAATAGTTCTCAATATTCACATTTCAGCTGATTTTATTCTCGTCAATATCATTTATATAGTGTTATTCATTTGATTGTGTCGACACTTATTCATTTCCATTATTCCCCATAGTATATTGAGATATCTCATTATCAATTGATTTCATCAATAGTAAATATACCCCCTTTCATCACTTATTTGGGGAATTTCAATTTGCACAATACCAATGCTTCCAGCGTATTATTCCACCATCATATCATTTCATATAATTCACAATCATCAGTATCATATAGTTTATGATTTGCACACTTTCAGTGTGATGCATATATCATTTCCAAATTTCAATCATTGATTCTCCCCCTTATCTTAACAGATCGCTGATCTGTATTTTTAGTATTGAATTTCTTGAGGGGAGTTCATATAGTCTCCATTTTGTTCTCGATTTCAACATATATTTGGAGGACTTTGACCTCATATCATTTGTAATGTGCACATTTTTCTTTCAAGAGTTCATCATATCAGCTGAGTATATTACTAGCTTCATCACTTTCATATGTCACTTATTTTCATTCTTTCATAATCATCTTGTGTCATTCTTTGATTAAACCATCTCGTAACTTCAGGTTACGTGTCATATACACGTTCTTTGATCAAATCATCTCGTAACTTCAGGTTACGTGTCATATATCCGTTATTTGATCAAATCATCTCGTAACTTCACGTTACGAATCACACAAATGTGGCTATCTAGTGGATCCATAATATCTAGTAGCACACATGGAGGGGTAGTGGGCCCATATATGTATCGTACCCCTTTCATACTCATATTGATCAAATATCGATTCATAAATATTTAGCTAGTAATAACTTTTACCAATCGAGAACGAAGCATTTCATATCACAAATAATCAGTTAATCATGCAAACCATCATCGTTATTTATACCAGTAAACATTTTTAAAGTGATCACAATAATTCATTGTGACACGTTTATCACAAACATTTCACATCATCTTTCGGCGGCAATAAATGCACTTTAAGTGCAGATTCTGACACACAATCTTTAAATCCAGAATCGCATCACATGTGTATCATGCCTTCTGCATACAGACTTTTAAACTCTGTTTTAGAGTCGTATCACATACGCATCATTTCTATAAATTATCAGGTAATTCATTCAATCTTCCTTAACAAAGGCCTGAATTTACAAATTGATCTAGCACTCTCAAATATTCGTATTTTCTTCCAATAAATATCATAAAAAGGATTTATCAATCTCGATTAGAAAGATTGAGGGTGCTAATGATTAATGGTATTCCAAGTGATGTTCGATGGTTGATCGAAGCACAAGTTCGATTATCCGGAGAGTTTCCAAATTCATATAAATATATGTCAGGTATGGGTAAGAGTACTTTTGCAAAGAATCAAAGAGAAAAAAAGATTAGGTGGATGCTTCAAATGCGCTCGATGGACTTGTGACACACGATGTAAATCTATAGGGTATGTGTCCAGAAATCGAGAAGATAAAATAGCATTTATAAAGGATGGATTGAGTAAGGAGTCTCTGGATCAAACGATTCAACAGATTCTTGAGACACGTTCTAGTGGGTATGTGCATCGTGAGCTTATGTCTTTATGGACTCAGTTCAAAAGTGAAGAAGAACGTTACAGTCTCGAAAATGTTATTTCAAAAAATCATGTTTGTAAAACTGGTATTGTTAGTACAAAAAAATCATACTAATATAGTTTAGTAGGTTGTACTGTAATTTTACAAAAATCCTTATAACTGTCGACAGATAAGATTTATTTAAAACTCAACACCTTATCTGTCAGTTGCAATTGTCAGAAGAAAACAGTAAAAATATTTATTGTTTTGTAAAGCTTTCTATTTAAATAGCGAGTCGATCATCATAACCATATGCCTCACAAAGTTTTGAAAAATTCAGTTTATCAATAAATATATGGATGTTTCGAGTCTTCGCAAGGTAATAATTTTCTTCAATCGATCAAAACCATGTGTGTTCTTGGTGGTTCTAAACTGGTAAGTTTTTCTCAAACTATTGATATTGTAAGTCGGTTAGCAAAAGGGATAGGGAATCAAAAAATCAATTTGTTGTATGGAGGGACTAGCAATACTTTCTTTGATAGTCTCTTAATGGTTGGACAATGTTTTGAGATAGAAGTAAAAAGTATTATACCTTTTCGTAGAGCTTCAATCAGAGTCGTCAAGGATTCCACAAGCATGATGCTAACTCATTCTATTTATGACTCTATGATGGAAATGGTGAATAATAGCGATGCTTTTATCATTCTTCCAGGTGGTTATGGAACACTAATGACAATGTTTACCAATGCTTCTTGGGTGGAATTGAAACTTCATAACAAGCCCATAGGTCTATTGAATTTTAATAACTTCTTTCATGGTTTGCTTGGATTTTCAGACATAGAAGTATTTCAAACCTTTATATCTC